CAAACAATAACGATAAATAATATATATATATATATATATATATGTATGTATAATAGTTAACCCTATTTCCTACCAAAAATTACACAGGCCTGCGAATTTAAACTTCATAAAAGTTGTTTTGGTTTTAATAACGGATTTTCCATAACTCAGCTACGCAGATTTCGAAAATAATATTCATTTTTTTTCTATCAAGTAATGATTTTTTTTACAAGTCGGGAAGAAAAAAAAACTCTTACTTAGATCAAATTGTTATTTCGTTTACCACAATAAACATTTTTTATTATTATGTTTGGGTTCTAGAACGATCGATAAGACTCTCACGTCGCGATTAGTCTAGATAAATCTATAGTCAGTGGTTGTCACCATTTTAAGCATAACAAAATGTGACCCGATTTCAATGAAAATGATTCACTTACGTTGGAGGATACTTTATTTTTTTTTTGAGTTTATAGGTCTTACCATTATAGTTATTTGTTCGATACTCCATTACGCACTTCGTTTTTGTTATAAATATTATGTTGGTAAATTTGTATTAAGATATTGTCTCCAATAGTCTGACCTGGTCATCCAACCAGAGAGTAAATCCAAGAGATCCCCGGATGAGAACGTATTGTGCTACTTTCTGAAATATCAATCCATCTGAGGTTGACGGCACCGAAAGTTGTTCACCGTTCCTGGTCACCACGAAACCAGCAGTTGTTGGAGCAACGACATATTTTTTATCCCCAATATCCAACCCTATACTTCTCCTGCAGTTACGGAGATCTTCCGAACAGCCAGGATCGTGGTACAGAATGATGGAGAAAGTGCTGTCCACACAGTCTGCGGCGAGAACATAGCTGCAGCTTCCAGGAAAATCATACAATCGGCCGTCAAATGTCCGAAAATGCACATCTCCCCAGGCGGCGCACGTTCCACTAGAAACCAAAGTCACTACAAACAAATACAAGGAAAAACGTTTTGTGATTATAACATAGCATTTAAGAATCAGTATACTGGTGGATTTAAATATTCACCACTGAATTTCATCCTTTAAACGTGGGAAGAGGTAACATTGGAACATTTACAGACAGAGTTACATAATGTTAAAATATTGTATCTACATATTCTGCATATTGTTCAGTTAACTTGATTATGGTCCTAGGACCAGGATCGAAAGCTTGCAAATAAAAGAAATTTTAATTTGGTATAAACTCATATAATATATATCTATACACAGCGTGGTCACAAGTAAATAGACACCACCTTTTCAGCAAAAATGAAATGTTTCAATCATATTCACATGAATTGATAT